AGTTGATTTAATCAGAGATGGATCGAATTACACAATACGAAGTATTGATTGCTGTTTGAAGGTAGTTACTCCTCCTGCTCTTGAGATTTTATCACCATTCTGTCACCAACTCGTGTTTTTTTTCTCAGTGAAAGGTCAAGCAGTGTGAAAAAGTAATGGTCTGGTCAAGTTAACCATCTTAGCATTAATGTTTGATTCAATTTATGTATTAGCGGCAGGTGGCGCGCCAGGATATTTCAAGTAATGCTCTGATGAGCAGTGTGCAACATTTGATACTCGTATTGTTATAAATGGATCTAGGTTTCAAAGAAATTAGCAATTCATTATCTGTCTCCTCCTCACATTCTCTCCTTGTCTGTCTCTGTCTCAGGCTTTCCCTTTTCCTTCTTCATTCCTCCCCTTCCTCTCTTCTCCGTCGTCCAATCGGAGTGCGATCTTGAAGCAATTGTCGGTCGCGCCGTCATAGCAAAGGGTAAATGAAGCGACAAGCGGCCCGGCCCCATCGCGTCGAATTCCTACCGTATTATCCCCTTGCCGGGAAATAGAGACCCAACTCTGAGCTCCAGTGTTAAGGCCCCTGGTAGTCTACGGCTGCTGGTGGTAATTGTCCGAGGCTGAGATTAGAATTGAACAAGCCGAAAGAGGAGGGAGGGAGTATATAGAGTGACAGAGAGAGAGAGAGAGAGAGAAAGAAAGGGAGGGATAACAAATTAGAACGGCACTCTACTGCTTTTATAATATGTTGATTGAAGCGTGTAGGAGCCAATTTAGTGTTCAAATATGTAAAGATATTTTCTGCTACCTGTGCAGACAACCGAGCAAGAAAGCAAGGCCGTGATTTTGAAGTATCGATATCGGAGCATATCGGAGCGAGACTTCCCGTAATTGCATTGCGGGGTTTTGTTCTGTTGGTATGCGCAAGACGTTGATCGAATCAAGACATTATCTTCCAATTGGTTACATATCTTAATTACATTACTACTGCCCCTTTACTGCCTAATAATCGATTCATTGTATTGTCCAAACTAAAATCGCAAAATTTCTGCTTCTCTTTTTTCTCGTTTAACACAGGATAATACATATATAATGATCAGGCTTTCAAAATGCATGGAAAGAAAAGAAAAAGAACTGTTGCAATTCTCCGTGCTCTAATTTCATGTCGGTGTGACCTGTTTATCGTAGACAGTTTCGGGAGAAAAAAATTAAGTTAAATGGCAACGCTTTTTTTTATAGAGGCGCCATTATTGATACCCTGGTTTCGCCAATTTGTCATTTCGGTGATGGTGATGAATTTCCGGCCCAACACCTCGATAGTAACTTTATTACTACCAAGCCAGGCCGAATCTTCCCAAAATATTTTTACCGCGTTTAACCGAACAAAGCACACAAAGCCCAAACATTTTCCCATCCCATTCCTTCATTTAGAATCTAAATCTCTTAATTTGTTGACGTCACGTGATAGCTTTAGGAGTCTAAGGCGACTTTAATACGAGTCTCGGTGGAGGGAGCATTAGCTTGCCTCCCCGCTCGCATTTAGTGCCTTAGCGTTAATATTTCAATGGTACACGTAGTTTAATCAATTCGATAATAGATACGTGACAGGTTGGATTCTGACAGCACTAAGCATTAGATTGCTATTACTGCTGATCGATCGCAGCTAAGAGTGATGAGATTGCATTCGACTCTATTAGAAAAAGTCGTTTTGTTCAAATGCAATATTTACGATAACAGCTTCTCCAATAATTCAAATACTGCAAAACATGACCTAGGGAATCAATTCCGTTTGTCCTACGCGCCAAGCCAGGACTTTCTCTTTCGTTTGTCTGGCAAAGCTATCTCATCCTTCTTCTACTATCTTCGTAAGACACGAAGGTTGTTTTGTTTTCCATGCAGCAGATGCAATATCAGCGCAATTCATTCAATATTCATTCATTTGATCGAGTAAGTAGCATTCAACCTCTGCATCCGTTTCGCGGTCTTTTTCTTTTTAGGATTCTAATCACATCACGTGACATGCCTTGAGATGTAACATGGCGTCATTGTTCAAAGGGCTTGACAGACTTATTGGTCCTGAATGAAACTGTCACCTTGCCGACATCCTTCAGGACCCCTCATGATGCAGGAGCACCCTTTTAGTGTTTTTGTCCTTCTCCACAAGTGTGCTCTGCTGATAGGCTGCTAAGTTTAGAACCGGATTTTTGATTTGATGACCTATTATAGTCTGCTACATTACGCACACTACACGTCTCATTAGACGTATATTGAGCTCAACGTAATTTGATATTACATGCTTACAGCAAGATCAACGACCAAGGCCACATACTGCTTCTAAAAGCACGATCAGTAAGATTTAATTGATGTAATTAATCTGACGGTCATCGCCTCAAATCGGGTTAAAGCCCTTGTATGTGTTACCCTAGCCACGCACAAACTACCTCCCAACCTCCACTATAATGACCGTCACGATCTATTTGAGAAAATCTGACCTTCTCCCGTTTCGCCACTCTCCAGTTTCAAATTTGGAAATTCGACGCAAGAAATTGAAGGGCCGACTTCTCCAAAGTATAAAGAAATTCCCATTTTGAGTGGTATGGTGGCTGTAAATAATGCCTGGCGTTGGCACACCACACAAATACGTAGCGGAAAGCACGTGGAGCGATGACATTTCTGGAAACCTTGTGCAAATTCGATGGTGAGATGAATGTCTACACATGCCCCTTCTACCTCCCCCCCCCCCCTTCCTGACTCTGTGTGTCAAGAGTGGAGGAGGGACACTTTACTAAAGCTTATTGTATAAAGGTAGGAACTTTATGTGGATCCACACGGGGGCCGAAGTGACAAGGAAAGGTACAAACATAAACCCCTCTCTAGCTTGCATTCCAATGGAGCTATGCGTACACATCTTTTCTCAGTACTTTATTAGCAAATCAAGTCACAAGTAGAGTACAATCACACACGGTCACTCAATTACTCAGAAGTAGAGCGCTAGAAACCTAATAATATTGAAAGTACTTTACTCTTTCGCACCCTTAATGGTTCGAGAAACAGAATGTGGGGTGATGTTCTTAACACGACAAGGCCGAAATTGATTCTTAACAGCAATGTTTATATTTACACCAACATGACCAACTGGTCAAGAAAAACTTTGAATGTCAATATTAAACATGCGGTTATAGTTATCTATTTGGCTCATTATCACTGCATATTATCGTTTTGATAGAACACGAGAGAGGGAGAAAAAAAATATACAATAATTAATTTCATTTCATTTCTATCGCCTTCCCCCTCCAGGGTAATAACCCTCGTCATCCTACGTCACTTCCTCATGAGATAGCATAGTTTGCCGAAGCCGAAGGATTGTTTAAAGAAATGATGGCCCGAAGTAGTGCTTGCCATCCAAAGACAAACATTCAAATTAAGGAAGAATAATTAACGTCAAACATTCACATAAAGTTTTATGTCACAGCTTAATGTCTACCTACCCGAGACTGCGATTGGAACCTAGAGGTGATAGAGACTAAAGGGGAGCTGTTACCAAGATGGACTATATTAATCTAAAGTGGTAATTTTGGTGGTAGGTAAACTCCAGTTTAAGCGTTTTTCGATTATAATGAGACGCCAGGAACGGTCATTATAACGTCAAGCAATTTAGATAAAGCGCCATCGCGGATGACATTTCAACACGAGCTTGGTGTAGTGGAGTTCAATCCAATTAAACTCATCGTATATTCACGTTCTCATTGTGTCTTATTGTTTGTAAACTTCTAGGAGACCACGTCTCTTTTCCCTCTTCCTCTCATCTTCCCTCTTTCTCCCTCCCTCCCTCTCGTTTTCTCAACTGGCCTGATTCCCTGATGAATTGCTTCTCTTACCATATTTTAAGGGCAAATCCTTATTAGATATTAGACGTGGAGGGGTGATCGTAAGGCCGGGCTAGCTACCACGGAAGAGGGGGTTTTAAACAAGGGGATCTAAATCCTCTTTTACGCCGCGGCGAGAATGAAGCGAGTTGTAAACAGTCTTGTGAAACGTAAGCTGTGTGCCATTTTTCAGCAGGCAGCTTGCATGACTTTATAGTGAGTGATAGTCCAAGCTCAGACGGTGTCTTCTATCTGGGTATACTTCTTCTTACCAGTGTAATCAAAAACTCTTCTCTCGGCTCATCTCGGAGGCTTCTCGATCGTCTTAAAGCGCTTGCTTTTCTCGATTGGATATGCGTCGTCTTTATAATAAAATAAACACCGCCAGACGGCAGTTTCATTTAACAGACAGCGGTTGGAATATCATACTTCATGGAATGTTCATAAATGGAATATAAGGACCTATGATAGCCTTGCTAAATGCATTGTTGTCATGGTTGTTAGGATGCATATTTTGTAACATAATTTTTTCTTCTGATTTTTAAGAAGGAAGCTCTTTTGAGTCTAAATTGATTCTGCATTACCCTTTCAGCAAACCAGGAATAGATTTTGTTAACTGATCTGATTCTTTCAGGTTGAACCAAGCTCAAAGTCGAGCAAATGGTTTCGCATATCTTATTGTTAACGATAGATGTATAAATAAACCATTTTGACCAAGCCATATGCTCGACTATGTCATTGACTCATTTTGTCGATAGCCAGAAAAAAATGATTTCCAACTTCCATTTATCAATATTAAAAGTAGTGAATTCTATATTATTTTCGAGTTTTGTGTACATGTAGTATTCATGTTAAATATAGACACAACAAAAGACTTTCGTTCAAGAATGGCTTTTTACAATTGACCGTTATTGTTATTTTGACTTTAAAACCGATTGAGTGTAAATGGCGATGACGTCTTCCAAAAACATTTTTTGGATGCAGTGCGCTAACCACTTTTTTTCCCTAACGACGCCCCCACAGTAATAAATGAGGTAGGCGTTCTCACGCCGCTGCGCTGATCGCGTAATTGTTACACTCTGCTTCCTCAGCAGCCAGGCAAATACTTCGACTCATTCCAAACCTTGCTCTTCACGCAAACTACCACAGAATAAAAATATACCACACTTTCATATCCGATGTCTTAATTCTTCCTTCTTGTTCTCTGTTTGTTTCATCATATCGAACAGATTCATCTGATGTTGCAGAGCCCCCCTCGGAGAACGATATTTTGTTTAACTCATTTTTTTCGGATGACACCACCACTTTGTCAGACATTTGATCTCGTCCGGACGACCAGTTGGCCGGGATTATTAAAGAGCGGTTAATGAGACGCACCAATCGATTACGAATCATATTTCATTTCTTCTCGACGTCAATACATCACCGATGATGTGGGAAAAGACCTGACAATTGTCACTGGTGAATCATATCAATTGAAAACCACACAGACGTCTCATTTTTTTTTAATCTCGTGGAAGAAAAGTTGTACTGATAAATGATGGAGATGGCTACGGCAAGAAGAAAGTCAAGTTTGGCGTTTTCCAGTGTTTGTGGGAACGCCCAGCCCGCCGATGAAGACTCCCAATGGCTTTCATGGGCCGAAAAACAATTCTGTCAAATAGCGGGAGAGGACAGACAAATTGACGAGGATGAGTTTAAAATGGCACTTAACATCAAAAAGGTGAGTTCATCTATGTATTCTTTTTTGAATCATTTTACTTTCCCGATGATCTAAAGCGGAGGAAGAAGTTTGCGATTGTCAGAATATTGCGACCATAAGTGAATGTTCATCTATCTCACGATGGAACTCCAGATTTGAGAAAATGCATTCACATGATTTTAAATCATACTATGGAAAAGGCAAAAGGTTGTGAAAAGGTGTTTGTTGTTACAAATGTTCATGCTGGTATGGACGTGAAAAATTCACTTTATATTTTCTATCCTTAACAGCATGCAGGTTCATCTTGAAGTTCAGTTACTATTTATGTATTGTGAAAGGCAGTTCTTGAGGATAAACGAAATACAAGGGCATTGCCAGAGAAAGAAAATGTCTTAAAGAAGAAACATCGTTACAAAAAGATATAAACTGATGTTAAATAAGCTCATTATTTAGTTCAACATTCAAATTGGTTGTCGATCACAAATTGAGTGGTTTTGCGCTATAAATATCATTGTAAGCATTAACAGAAATATGATTCAACGAAACTCCAAGAATTGTACGCATTTCCATTTTCAACCAATCAAGAACAAGTATTTGTAACTTGCTCTCTTTCGTTCGTCCTTTCTTTATTTTGAGTTGCTTTTAAATACACTGTTTTCAAGATGCCATCGAAAAGACTGGGTTAAGAGGATACCGTTTTACCCGATTTACTTTAATCCTCCTTTGCAAATCCTCTTTAACAAAAACGTAATTCGAAGTCTCTGCTAGCTGTACCTAGGATGTTATTAATTCGACATGCAGCGAAGAATATTCTTCATTAATTAAGAGTATTTCTGGAAAAATAATATAAAAAAGTGTATTTTGTATAGAATAACATGCTTTTCAAGATTTTCTCTATTAGGATTAACATGTTGATGTGCTTACACCTTGATATACTTCTGTATGAATCCGTATGATAAACTGATTGAAATGATAGAAAACTACGTATGTAATACAATTCTGTGATGTAACATTTAACTGCAATCTTGAAATGGCTCAGAAATCCTGGGTTCGAAACCATGTGAGTGTACCTGTGCATCAACCATCAATTACCTACGCCGGGTCACTAGAGTGATTAACCACTCTTTAACTCACCTTTGATTAAAGGTAAAGACCAGTATTGGAAACGCCCCAATTTCAAAAAATGAAATGGAAGCTCTCATAACCAATCATGTGAAAGAATATGTTTTGAATACATGATGATAAAAAAATTTGCCGGAAAACCGCCTACTAATTCATATATTTGGTAAATTTGTTTCTCTCATGGTCTGTGAGAGATATAGGGTAGTCCCATATACATCTTTCTGTGTATAGTGCTTGTAACTTTACGAAGAATGGGCCAAATTTCTTATCATTTTGATGATTCCAGAACCTTGCAGATGCTAGATGCTAGATGATCAACCTTTTCTGATCGATTCCACAACGTTTCTTTCACAATGGAATCGAATGACCATAACTGGTCTTTACCTTTAAGTAAATGAATATATTCAATCAATCTTTTGATAGTTGTTATTCATCAAAGAGCATAATTATATCTTGTATTTGATATTTAATGTTACAGCTGATATGGTTCTGATTTGATCAGATGCGATAAGACATATTGTGGTGGGAGAAAGGTGTTAATACATTCATCGCTATAGACAGTGCATAATCTGTTTTACTAACTCGTTTGACATTAAAAAAGAACGTCAGTTTAAATCAAATCAACAATTTAACATAGTTTCCCTCTGGTTTATGGGCTTATGGACTTATGTAACATGTCGTTAAACTTCTTTTAAAAGTAGACAACGAAAAAACGTAGTTGTTCGGGGTTTTTTGTTGTTGTCCTGTTTTAGATTATTATGTCACAAGTCTTTTGAAACCATGTTACGTCAATAAATTCAAAATTGAATAGAAAAAATAATGACCGATGGTGTGAATCATGAAAAGGCCATTTTTCATGAATAAATAGCCATAAATAGCATTACTTTTAAATAATGTAAATGAGTCAATTTCAGTTTAAGCCTAGACAACGAGATTTCCTTTTTTTTAATGTGACGATAACTTTCGGAAACGGCCTTAAATTTGTTACCGTTTTTAAACCTCATTATATCAAATTAAATAGAAAGCTATAGATAAGAACTTGGAGAGATAACTTCCGATTCAAGAGATATCAGACTAGATTGGTCTTTTATGCAGGGGAATGCACAAATCCGGTATATATTGCACAGTGTGAAGAAACATAACCGTCTATCTTTATTTGCAATTACTCAATATCCTACTTGGTCTGGTCAAGATAATATCTTATCTATTAGAAAACCCATTAGCAGACTGATCGCGATAATGTATAGCCAAATCCCTCCCCTCACCCTTTACGAATCTTCTTTTCTCCCATTCCCCCTTTTCATCTTATCTCTCACTTTTCCTCCCTTTTTTCTTGCTTGATTTATCGCTTTCGTTTATACTTTCTTGCTTTTTCTCATCCAATCTTTCCATTTACCTCGTTTTTATAGATAAAATTGGGCTTTCTCTCCTTCGCTATATTCATTTTCACCAATGTTGGTCTTCTCTTCTCTGTTTCTTTCCTATTCTCTCTCTCTCTCTCTCTCTCTCTCTCTCTCTCTCTCTCTCTCTCTCTCCGTTTGTTCCGTACACATCTCGTGTTTATATTAAATCCGGGGCTTTAATTAGTAGGTCTAAGGATTTTCCTCGATTTCAGTCAACAAGTTTGATCTATTTCTTCCCTCAAAGTTATTTTTAAAAACCTGTCAAAAAAAAAAACCTCTTTGGAGAGTTAGTGACAAGAAAATTAACGACGCCAAAATGACAGTAAGTAAGCTTCTAAATACCTACGCAAACACGAAAAACGAATGATACAATGGGATATATGAAGTTTAACATATTAAGTTCAGAGTAGTTACAATAAAATATGTGACGTATAGCGTAAAGACCGATACAGTTACAAGAAAATATAATGGGTATATAGCATAAAGAATGATAGGATCATACAATATATAGGGATAGAGTAGAGAGGTAAATCATTGTTTCTATAAGATATGACATTCATTAAGATATGGTATTGTGGGTTGGAGTAAGATAAAGCGAATAAGACCGTCATGAAGCGATGACTTCCTGATGAAAAGCAATATTTTAATCTTGCTCATTCCCATAACCATGGTTACGAGAACAGTACAATGATTCTTATTATTAACTTGCTACTAAGTACACCGTGTAAAAAGGTAGACATGTTTAAAGATCGAGCAACGATACAGGCACAATATCCGTTCCCTATTCCACCGCCGCTCGGTAAAGTTTCCAGGAGAAACCAAGTCTGAAAACGGGATCAAATTTCCCCTTACAATATATTACATTTTCTGCTTAGGTGGGGTTGAGCTTTATTCGGTATCGTGATTCTGTGTCAAAAATTATACAACAGAGTTATAATCATTATTAGCTTGTAGCAGATTGGGAAGGAAATTAAACCATCATTTCAATCGCTGGTTGTTTAAATTTTTCAGAGGATAGATAAATCAAGAGTCAAACATGCACAAAATTGAATGCCATCATGACCATTTTAGTGCCCTCGTAGGTTTTTTTATTTTATATCAAGCTTACTTTGAAGAAAATATAATTATGACGGACCAAATTAATCATCACGTGATTTTGATAAAAGGGAGTATAATCTCCAGTCCCCCTCTCTCTCTCTCTCTCTCTCATTATCTCTCCCCCTCTCTCCTTCCTTATCTCCCTCTCTCTCTCTTTCTCTCTCTCTACCTCCTTATCTCCCTCTCTTTCTCTATATCTCTCTCTTTCTCTCTCTCTCTTTCTCCCTCTCCCTCTTCCCGTCTCTCTCTCCCTCTCTCTCTCTCCCTCTCTCTCTCTCTCTCTCTCCCCCTCTATCTCTTTCCCCGTCCACCTTGTTGAAGCTTTAAACTGGAAACCAATGCGTGCGAGCATTATGATGAGTTTACTTAACACTCCACGTATACTGGTATGCACTAAGTACACAATCAAGAAAGCAATGAAATCAATACATATCCCAGATGATTTGTAAAAAAGCGTGAATACTCGAAGGTTTACGTTATATCAGCTGTATCTTTCATAATACTCTTACATAGCAAGTGTCGCAATAGATATTTGCACTATTTGGTTGTGAGTGTATAATAGCAAGGTGGTATAACTTGTTTTTCGGTTTTGTCTTCATTATCATGATTTTTCACGCTGAAAGAACACTACTTTAGAAGCGTGAAAAATGGAATACATTACATTAATTTTGTATCACAGCGAACTTGTTTGATCATCTGTATTGCGTAAATTAACTCATCACCCTTAAAAAGTACTACAGCACTTAAGTAAACTGTTATTGCACTAGTGTGCAAGTTTAAATAAGGTCTACCAGCTACCATTTACAATTTGTGAGAGGAAAAAGAAACCACGGAAAGATATTTACTGATTAAGCTATGTCGTCATGTCGAAGTATTCTTTAACCCACACACATTTGGGATCAATCTTACCAATTTCCTCAAAAAATTAGGCCTATGTTATTTGCAACTAATATATAAATGTATTTATTTATTTATTATTATTTACATGTAAATTATCACACCTTTCGATTGAATCCAGTCAATTGTGATAAGCAAATTAACGCGTTAATTCACGTGCATGAAGTTTACTGTGAACCTAACCTTTACGAGTCCGAGAGAAAATTAGTTTTCATATACCCTTAAGCAAACTATCAAATGACGTATTTTATATACTAATCAAACAAGACAATCTCTATCTTTATAGTGTTGAGGTATATCTCACGAGTTTACAAGGAGCGACACGTTATGAAATAAAATCCTGTATTCCGACGCCTCAAGTTAATTTTGGGCTTACGTGAAGTTCTTGGTGAAAATATTAACTAATGCTTCTGTCAATAGACTATTTTTGTTGATAGCAACAGTCAGGATTAAATAAATGTAATGTTTGCCTTTTCGATGCACTGTAATATGGACCTCTGA